TAATTTTCAACTATTTCCAGTACTCTGTTTTTCTACGTACATTTCTATCCAACTGCGTCATGAAGAGAATAAAGAGTGAATAAAGTATTTTAAGTCATAAACTGTTGAAAAAGACAGAAAAAAACTGCTATCTTTTTCAGGTCGGACAAAAACTTGACTAAAACACATAGAAATAACACATTTTTACCATAATTCAGTGCATACGAATGGATATTTTCCTCGTTCCTGTGATACATCTGTTGTGAAAGTGCACGATTATGTCCTTCTGTCCTCTCAATCAAATGGACCTAAATAAATGACATATTCTACTGTTTCCTCGGTGAAATCAAGTATTGTATGAAAATATTATGACATATTTAAGTGTTTGGACACGAATAGAGACATGTACTTTATGTAAATATATTTGCTTTGCCTGAACTTTCAAAGCAAAAACTAAAGAATGAAACGACTGGAACTTCTGTGTCGCCCTGAGTCACAACAGCAGTTTCCTCAACACAGAGCAGAGAATAAGTGGCTGTTTTGACTGATAAAATGTGTCATATTAGTGCGTTTTTTCAGATTTTCCCCCATTGCATTTATTCACTTTCTCTTTTGATGGATATTTCTGTTTACACATATAACTTCCATCTTTTAATCGCTATTATCAAGTCGCTTTCATACAGGAACACCTACTGTATAATGGGCCAATACAGAAGAAAGGTTGAGGACCGCGCACATAGCTCCCCAGGCCGCAATTTGCTCTCGGGCCATGGTTTGGACTGACCAAAATAACATGAAAAACATATATTTTTAAAGAAATTCCAGTCCTTTCATCTCAGAGTTTTGCAGTGCACAGTCCTCTCTCCTCTAACCATGTCTCTCTTATTTATATTTTGTATTTTCTCTGCTTGTAAATGCAAAGAGTGCTTGTCCAAACTGGAAGCTGCTGTAAACGACTGTGGGACTAAATGGTATTAAAAAGACTGAACCGTTCATCGATGCTTTGGCTGTTTTTGTCGAAATAAATGACGGAGTTTAAAATGGTGGTGTTTTTATCTCATCGTTCTGAGCGTTTTCTGACTGTAGCTGCTCCTGTGGCTGCTCCTGTGGCTGCTCCAGTGGCTGCTTCTGTGGCTGCTCCTGTGGCTGCTCCTGTGGCTGCTTCTGTAGCTGCTCCTGTGGCTGCTCCTGTGGCTGCTCCTGTGGCTGCTCCAGTGGCTGCTCCAGTGGCTGCTCCTGTGGCTGCTCCTGTGGCTGCTCCTGTGGCTGCTCCAGTGGCTGCTTCTGTGGCTGCTCCTGTGGCTGCTCCTGTGGCTGCTTCTGTAGCTGCTCCTGTGGCTGCTCCTGTGGCTGCTCCAGTGGCTGCTCCAGTGGCTGCTCCTGTGGCTGCTTCTGTGGCTGCTCCTGTGGCTGCTCCTGTGGCTGCTTCTGTGGCTGCTCCTGTAGCTGCTCCAGTGGCTGCTCCTGTAGCTGCTCCAGTGGCTGCTCCTGTGGCTGCTACTCTGCCACTGTGTTGTTGCTATAAATAGTTGGCCCGGTTTTTGTCTCTCAGTACATCGCATCTCCTCCTCCATCTCCTCCTCCATCTCCTCCTCCATCTCCTCCTCCATCTCCTCCTCCATCTCCTCCTCCATCTCCTCCTCCATCTCCTGACTCCATCTCCTCCTCCATCTCCTGACTCCATCTCCTGACTCCATCTCCTCCTCCATCTCCAGTCTCCATCTCCTGACTCCATCTCCTCCTCCATCTCCTCCTCCATCTCCTGTCTCCATCTCCTCCTCCATCTCCTCCTCCATCTCCTGACTCCATCTCCTCCTCCATCTCCTGACTCCATCTCCTGACTCCATCTCCTGACTCCATCTCCTCCTCCTCTCCATCCCTCCTCCATCTCCTCCTCCATCTCCTCCTCCTCTACTCCATCTCCTGACTCCATCTCCTCCTCCATCTCCTCCTCCATCTCCTGACTCCCTCCTGACTCTCATCCTATCTCCTGACTCCATCTCCTGACTCCATCTCCTCCTCCATCCCTCCTCCTCCATCTCCTCCTCCATCTCCTCCTCCATCTCCTGACTCCATCTCCTGCTCCCATCTCCTCCTCCATCTCCTCCTCCTCTCCATCTCCTCTCAATCTCCTCTCATCTGCTTCTCCATCTCCTCCTCCATCTCCTCCTCCCCTCCATCTCCTGACTCCATCTCCTGACTCCATCTCCTGCCTCCTCCATCTCTCATCTCCTCCCTCCTCCTCCATCTCCTCTCCATCTCTCTCCATCTCCTCTCCATCTCCTACTCCATCTCCTGACTCCATCTCCTGACTCCATCTCCTCCACTCTCTCATCCCTGACTCCATCTCCTCTCCATCTCTCCATCTCCTGACTCCATCTCCTGATCTCTCCTCCTCTCCTCCTGACTCCATCTCCTGCTCCATCTCTCCTCCATCTCCTCCTCCATCTCCTACTCCATCTCCTCCTCCATCTCCTGACTCCATCTCCTGACTCCATCTCCTGACTCCATCCTACTCCATCTCCTGACTCCATCTCCTCCTCCATCTCCTGACTCCATCTCCTCCTCCATCTCCTCCTCTCCTCCTCCATCTCCTCCTCCATCTCCTGACTCCATCTCCTGACTCCATCTCCTGACTCCATCTCCTGACTCCATCTCCTGACTCCATCTCTCCTCCATCTCCTGACTCCATCTCCTGACTCCATCTCCTGACTCCATCTCCTCCTCCATCTCCTCCTCCATCTCCTGACTCCATCTCCTCCTCCATCTCCTGACTCCATCTCCTCCATCTCCTCCTCTCATCTCCTGACTCCATCTCCTGACTCCATCTCCTGACTCCATCTCCTGACTCCATCTCCTGACTCCATCTCCTCTCCATCTCCTGACTCCATCTCCTCCTCCATCTCCTGACTCCATCTCCTGACTCCATCTCCTGACTCCATCTCCTGACTCACTCCATCTCCTGACTCCATCTCCTGACTCCATCTCCTGACTCCATCTCCTGACTCCATCTCCTGACTCCATCTCCTCCTCCATCTCCTGACTCCATCTCCTCCTCCATCTCCTGACTCCATCTCCTCCTCCATCTCCTCCTCCATCTCCTCCTCCATCTCCTGACTCCATCTCCTCCTCCATCTCCTCCTCCGTCTCCATCTCTTCCTCCATCACATGTGGGAACTACACTGAACTATATTATTCCATTGTGTGTGTCAACAAAAATGTAGAAAGAGGTTTTAAGACTAAATAAAAGTGTCATTTTTGTATCCCACAGTTTGGAGATGTGTGTGTTGCTTTGATAACAAACAAAAACAAGGTCGATGTCTATAAATGATTCTTTCTCTTGAAAAATCTGTGATAATCTGTCACACTCTGGAAACACATTATACATTAAAGAGTGGGGCAGTGGTTAGCCCTCAGAAAGCATTTCCTGTTTGATTCTCTGATCTGTCGTTGGCAAATCCACAACTTTGTAAAGTCCTCAGACGACTGTTGTGAGCTACGGCTGAACACAGACAACAGAACAGTATAAACTAGTATCAATAGAATATCTGCTTTTGCTCTTGTCTTCCTGGAGTTGGATGCGTTTGATCCGAGATGACGTTGTTTTCGCAGATGTCCGTTTAACCCCCCGCTTCTCTCTGCACGCCTCTGGCCTCTGTCAAACTCCCAGCATGCCCCGGGGCTCCTGCCGTCTTCAGAGGCCACAGACAGAACCATGTGGGGACCAGCCAGAGCGGACTTCAGCAGAACTAGAAATACTGTCACAGGGCTTTGTAGTCATGGAGTCTATAAAAAGTTGATTTATGATTTATTGATATGGCGCACGAGGCCAATAACATGTCATCAGATGTGTATTTAAGGCAAGTTTATTTATATTGCACAGTTCATACACACAGAAACTCAAAGTGCTACAAAACAATCAGAAAGTATAGACTCATGGACTTTCATTTCAACACATTTTAAAATCTTTCAGTTTTATGCAGAGCTAAAAATAACTTGACTTTGATTATTTACCAACAGTATTTACAAATGAAACTCTTTTCAAAACCATTTTCTTACATATTGCTAAGAATGTATAATAACAAATTGTGCAAGGACAAAGCATGCAAGTGACTGGAACGGGCTTTTTCAGTGAGGCTTGGATGTGAATAACAATGATAAAGGTTCTGTGACCAAAACGTCTCATGAATAAATAATTTACACCTGCAACTTGAGACGCTTTGCATCTGCTCCAGAAATGTCTCTTGGTGTGGGTTACTTACAAGATCAAGAGTTGAGAAGAAAAATAACTCCAATTTTGGCCGTTAAAATTGGAAATAAGACTAATTACTTCGTCAATCCACCATTTAGAAGTAGATATACGGCTGCAACTCCCCACGCTGCCACCAGGGGGAGGCTGCTGATATTTACCAGCAGCAGATGTGCATTTATAAAATATGTAATTTCACATGAGAAATTACCAAAACGTATTCATGGCCAATATTTTGATTGAAAAGCCAGAAAACTGCAGATAGCGTGACGTCATAGTGATCCAATGACGTCATTCTATCACTGACTGAGGCAGAAGCTGTTTGTGCCAGAACTTATGTTAGTCTGGATGGATCTAAAAACAACTCCAGGTCTGATTTTGACCAAGAAACACTGTTGTAACATGATTAACAGTCAGTTTTACACATTATGTCTCTTTGAACATGAGAGAATTCATTCATTCCGCGATAAGGAAATGTCACAAAACAAGAACAGAAAACACGAAGCTCGTCTTAATGTCCGATGTTAACAAAGTCCAATAAATAAAGTATAAAAAGTGCGTTTTCAGGCAATAAACAGACGATAAACAGTTGATAAACAGTTGATAAACAGATGATAAACAGATGATAAACAGTTGATAAACAGATGATAAACAGATGATAAACAGACAATAAACAGATGATAAACAGATGATAAACAGATGATAAACAGATGATAAACAGATGATAAACAGTTGATAAACAGATGATAAACAGTTGATAAACAGACGATTGCTACCGTAGGATCTTGGTGCGGATGTATTGGCACAGACAGAGCGAGGCGGTGGAGCAGTGGTTCCTCCGCGGCCGCATCCTGTAATGGGACGGTCCCGAGAGCTGCTCTGACACCAGGAGTTTGACGTACAAGGCCGAGTACGTCAGCAGCAACTGGTGCGACTGGTCCTGAGACACAGAGAGGAGGGTGAGAGCAGGAGAGACAGGCTTTATGGTACTTCAGGAAGCTCAATGAGGAGCACAGGGACTGGACTCCTGCTGGGACTCTGAGGAGCACAGGGACAGGCCTCCTGCTGGGACTCTGAGGAGCACAGGGACTGGACTCCTGCTGGGACTCTGAGGAGCACAGGGACAGGCCTCCTGCTGGTCCCAGAGTCAGGACTAAACATGGGGAGGCTGCATTTCAGATTCATGCAGCTAAAATCTGGAACAGTCTTCCTAAAAATGTGAGACAGGCTTCTTCCCTGACAACGTTCAAATCCAGGATAAAAATAATTCTGTTTCGCTGCAACAACTGAAGGACTTTATCTTCACACTTTTGAATGTACAGTCCATACACAGGGCACTTTGAGTTGCCTTCATTGTGTATGGACTGTGCTATACAAAAAATTCTGCCTTGTCGAGTACAAAACAGAAAGAACAAAAGTAACATATACTGTTTTTATTTTAGCCATTGTCCTGGAGAAACCACACACACGTTTCAATTCCTTATATTCTCTTCCTCAGAGTTTATCAAGTTGTGAAAAGTATAATAATTGTATGAACCCGATCTCAAAGACAAGTTTTCAGAGTCCGTTCCTCTGGAGCAGATGTGCGGCTCCAAACCTCATCAACATCAATCCGTCTCCAGGAGATTTGGCTCCTTCTTCAAAGAGAAATGTTGAGCGCTCTGAAAGTGAATGAATCTATCTGCATTTTAAATGAGTGGTCATCTGTTCGTCTGCTCCTGACCACAGCTGCGTCCGTCTGCTCCTGACCACAGCTGCATCCGTCTGCTCCTGACCACAGCTGCGTCCGTCTGCTCCTGACCACAGCTGCATCCGTCTGCTCCTGACCACAGCTGCGTCCGTCTGCTCCTGACCACAGCTGCGTCCGTCTGCTCCTGACCACAGCTGCGTCAGTCTGCTCCTGACCACAGCTGCGTCCGTCTGCTCCTGACCACAGCTGCGTCCGTCTGCTCCTGACCACAGCTGCATCCGTCTGCTCCTGACCACAGCTGCATCCGTCTGCTCCTGACCACAGCTGCGTCCGTCTGCTCCTGACCACAGCTGCATCCGTCTGCTCCTGACCACAGCTGCGTCCGTCTGCTCCTGACCACAGCTGCCAGTCTGCTCCTGACCACAGCTGCGTCCGTCTGCTCCTGACCACAGCTGCGTCCGTCTGCTCCTGACCACAGCTGCGTCGTCTGCTCTGACCACAGCTGCCGTCGCTCGACCACAGCTGCTCCTGCTCCTGACCACAGCTGCGTCCGTCTGCTCCTGACCACAGCTGCGTCCGTCTGCTCCTGACCACAGCTGCGTCCGTCCTGCTCCTGCTCCTGACCACAGCTGCGTCGTCGTCCTGACACACTGCTCGCGCTCCTGACCACAGCTGCGTCCGTCTGCTCCTGACCACAGCTGCGTCCGTCTGCTCCTGACCACAGCTGCGTCCGTCTGCTCCTGACCACAGCTGCGTCGTCTGCTCCTGACCACAGCTGCGTCCGTCTGCCCTCTGACCACAGCTGCGTCCGTCTGCTCCTGACCACAGCTGCGTCCGTCTGCTCCTGACCACAGCTGCGTCGCGTCCGTCTGCTCCTGACCACAGCTGCATCCGTCTGCTCCTGACCACAGCTGCATCCGTCTGCTCCTGACCACAGCTGCGTCCGTCTGCTCCTGACCACAGCTGCGTCCGTCTGCTCCTGACCACAGCTGCGTCGTCTGCTCCTGACCACAGCTGCGTCCGTCTGCTCCTGACCACAGCTGCGTCCGTCTGCTCCTGACCACAGCTGCATCGTCCGTCTGCTCCTGACCACAGCTGCGTCCGTCTGCTCCTGACCACAGCTGCGTCCGTCTGCTCCTGACCACAGCTGCGTCCGTCTGCTCCTGACCACAGCTGCGTCCGTCCGCTCCTGACCACAGCTGCGTCCGTCCGCTCCTGACCACAGCTGCGTCCGTCCGCTCCTGACCACAGCTGCGTCCGTCCGCTCCTGACCACAGCTGCGTCCGTCTGCTCCTGACCACAGCTGCGTCCGTCTGCTCCTGACCACAGCTGCGTCCGTCTGCTCCTGACCACAGCTGCACAGCTGCGTCCGTCTGCTCCTGACCACAGCTGCTCGCTCCTGACCACAGCTGCGTCCGTCGCTCCTGACCACAGCTGCGTCCGTCGCTCCTGACCACAGCTGCGTCCGTCTGCTCCTGACCACAGCTGCGTCCGTCTGCTCCTGACCACAGCTGCGTCGTCTGCTCCTGACCACAGCTGCGTCCGTCTGCCCTGACCACAGCTGCGTCCGTCGCTCCTGACCACAGCAGCTGCGTCCGTCTGCTCCTGACCACAGCTGCGTCCGTCTGCTCCTGACCACAGCTGCGTCCGTCTGCTCCTGCTCGCCACCACAGCTGCGTCCGTCTGCTCCTGACCACAGCTGCGTCCGTCTGCTCCTGACCACAGCTGCGTCCGTCTGCTCCTGACCACAGCTGCGTCCTGGACTCTCTCTGTGCTTCTGAGTTTGTCCGTCAGATTTTATTTTAATTTTAGTTATAACAGACAAAAATGTTCTGGATATGCTCTCTTGATGATGCTGCATAACCAACACATTTTTATTTGCAAATAATTCGAGGCAAAGACTAAGGAATATATTTTTTAATAAAACATCCAAATTATACACAGTTTTTGAATAAAACATTATTTTCTGGCTCGTGTAGTTACGTTTCATCTACACATTTGGATTCTTCTTCCCAGTTCTGATCCAGGAGTGTTTGGATTTCACTCACAGAAAGAATCACTGGTGGCTTTACTTTTCAGGTTAAGTTAAATTGACTCAAACCAGTTATACGTATATTGGTTTTTTCGTGTCTAGGCTATTTTCATGTCGTTTTTGTGTTTCCATACCAGTACCTGAGTAGACAGCTCTGTGTCCGGGACGAGGCTGAGGCAGGTGGGGAAGAGCGCCGCCCGGTGGTCGTTGGAGGTACTGCTGTCCTCCTGCAGCAGAGGCCTGTGCTCCTCTGCGCTCTGCTCCACGTCCTCTGTCTCTGCGTGAGCGGCGTCAGTGACCAGGACCAGGTGGGACAGCCGCTTCTGCAGCTTCTTCTGCAAAACAACACTTTACATTCAGACTGTGATGATCCAAGACACATTCTACAACACACTATGGTCCAATACCATGTGCTCTCTCTGATTATTAACGGGTTGATTGATCTGTGTTGGCAATTTATACAGATTTGTAAAGTTTTAACCATTTAGCCCTGTTTCCACCAGCCCTACTTGGTCCTACCCGGCACAGCTCTACCTTAACCAGATTGGAGCAGTGCTAGAGCTGGTACTAAAGTGACAGAATGGACCGTGACATTGCTGCTGGAAGCCATGGTTACCAAGAAATTTCTTCTATCTTTGTGAAAAAGGTGTTGGTTATAGATTTGTTGTTGACAAAACTCTTGTCTATTCAGCTGTTATGGTCCCAGCTGGATTCGTCTGCATATCTGGCAACCTGAGTCAGGGAGAGTGGGAGAGGCTGCAGTACCACTTTTGGTCAGATTTTTACAAACTGCTCCTTTAAACTCACATATAAAGTGATGCCATCATCTCCCTCCTCCATCGCTCGCTGTCCCACCTTGAGAAACCCGGCACCACTGTGAGGATTCTGTTCTTCGACTTCTCCAGTGCCTTCAACACCATCCAGCCGAGGCTTCTCGGGGACAAGCTGGAGACAGCCGGTGTGGACTACGACCTGTCTGAGTGGATGCTGGACTACCTCACAGACAGACCCCAGTTTGTGAGAACCAGGGACTACGTGTCTGAGGTCCTGACCTGCAGTGTGGGGGCCCCCCAGGGGACAGTCCTTGCCCGTTCCTCTTCACCCTCTACACTGCGGACTTCAGACACAACACGGACGGTTGTGTTCTACAGAAGTTCTCTGAAGACTCTGCCATCATCGGACTCAGCTCCGAGGACGATGACACAGAGTACAGAGGAGTTCTACAGGACTTTGTGGACTGGTGTCAGCGGAACCACCTCCTCATCAACGCGGGGAAGACCAAGGAGATGAACCACCTCCTCATCAACGTGAGGAAGACCAAGGAGATGAACCACCTCCTCATCAACGTGAGGAAGACCAAGGAGATGAACCACCTCCTCATCAACGCGGGGAAGACCAAGGAGATGAACCACCTCCTCATCAACGCGGGGAAGACTAAGGAGATGAACCACCTCCTCATCAACGCGGGGAAGACTAAGGAGATGAACCACCTCCTCATCAACGCGGGGAAGACTAAGGAGATGAACCACCTCCTCATCAACGCGGGGAAGACTAAGGAGATGAACCACCTCCTCATCAACGTGAGGAAGACCAAGGAGATGAACCACCTCCTCATCAACGTGAGGAAGACCAAGGAGATGAACCACCTCCTCATCAACGTGAGGAAGACCAAGGAGATGAACCACCTCCTCATCAACGTGAGGAAGACCAAGGAGATGAACCACCTCCTCATCAACGTGAGGAAGACCAAGGAGATGACCCACCTCCTCATCAACGTGAGGAAGACCAAGGAGATGAACCACCTCCTCATCAACGGAAGACTAAGGAGATGAACCACCTCCTCATCAACGCGGGGAAGACCAAGGAGATGAACCACCTCCTCATCAACGCGGGGAAGACCAAGGAGATGAACCACCTCCTCATCAACGCGGGGAAGACCAAGGAGATGAACCACCTCCTCATCAACGCGGGGAAGACCAAGGAGATGGAGGTGGATTTCCGTAGACGTCACTCTGCCGCTCCAGCCCCAGTGAACATCCAGGGAAAGGACATCGAGAGAGTGGACTCTTACAAGTACCTGGGTGTTCATCTGAACCACAAACTGGACTGGACTCATAACACAGACGCCCTCTTCAAGAAGGGCCAGAGCCGCCTCTACCTACTGAGGACGCTCCGGTCTTTTGGAGTGCAGGGGCCTTCTATGACTCTGTGGTGGAGCCTCTTGTACGGTGTGGTCTGCTGGAACAGCAGCATCACAGAGAGGGACAGGAAGAAGCTGGACAAGGTCATCAGGAAGTCCAGCTCAGTCCTGGGCTGTTCCCTGGACACAGTGCAGCAGGTGGGGGACAGGAGGGTCCTGAGCAAACTAACATCTATGCTGGACCATGACTGTCGCCCCCTGCAGGACACTCTCTCTGCTCTGGAGAGCAGCTTCAGTGACAGACTAATTCACCCTCGCTGTGTGAAGGAGAGGTTTCACAGGTCTTTCCTTCCTGCTGCTGTCAGACTGTACAACGAGAATGTGTAACAGGAACTGCTGAGTCTGCACAAGTGTCACTGATAATTCACTAGTAACTTTGTCACCAGTCACTTTACCTGTTATCAGTACTGCTGTATTATTACATATCTGATATTACTGTTATCAGTACTGCTGTATTATTCATATCCATCTGATAATTCTCCCATTCAAGTCACTTTACCTGTTGATATTATTTCTGATGTTTATTCTTCTCATATTCTCCGCTGCTAATGTATAATATATATATATATATATATATCTGTAAATACTCCGAACCAAGTGCAATTATAGCCCAGAGTTTATCTTATTTTATTTAATTTTATTTTATCTTAAATTTATTGTCTATTATCTTAAATAATAGACTTTTGATGTGTGTAATCTGAGTTTCCTTATTTTCTCTCACTGCTGTAATGTGCAACGATGACACTGACATTTCTCCACTGTGAGACTAATAAAGGTTTATCTTATCTTAAAGTCTCCTCACTGCAACATAAATATGTGGTTAATGTTCTGAGGGGATGAAAGTCTCACCTGAACATTTTGAGGATCTTGGTGTTGGTCTAAAGAGTCGGTCACGGCTCTCAAACAGCGAGACATGTCCCAGTAAACAAAGTACAGCTGAAACAAACACACATCATTTGGGATTAGGCATTAAAATAATCACAGTGCATTCAAAATATAAAGTCCTTCAGTTGTTGCAGAAACAGACTGTTTTAACCTGGGTTTGAACATTGTCAGAGAAGAGGCCTGTCTCACTTTTTCAGGAAGACTTTTGTGCTCCTCAGTGTCCCAGCGGGAGGCCAGACCAGAGAGGATTCATGGTTTTACACTGGTCCAGACCAGAGCAGAGAGGATTCATGGTTTTACACTGGTCCAGACCAGAGCAGAGAGGATTCATGGTTTTACACTGGTCCAGACCAGAGCAGAGAGGATTCATGGTTTTACACTGGTCCAGACCAGAGCAGAGGGGATTCATGGTTTTACACTGGTCCAGACCAGAGCAGAGGGGATTCATGGTTTTACACTGGTCCAGACCAGAGCAGAGGGGATTCATGGTTCGAAACAAGTGGATCAGGAGAAAATCCACTGGCAGAATGCTAACTTTTTGTAAAATGCTAATGAAGCATTTAGCATTTTACTTTGGACCAGAGCAGAGAAAATAGTCTGAACCAAGCTCCACCTCTGCTGCTGTGACCTGAAGCATCTTAACATTTTGGTTAGATACTTTTAGAATGATCTGTTTTTTCTTTCTTTTTTTTTTTGGATGGATGTGTTTTTTGCTGCTCCTGGACACTTGCATTTCTCCAACAGGGATCGAAAAAGCATGTATCTAAAAAGTGTATAAGAATATTTACCTCCACCAGGTTTTTAAGTAGTCTAGAATTAGAATCTCAGCCTCGTGGACATACAGAGGCTGATAAGGGACAAAAAGGAGTTTGAGCGGGAGTTGGAGACCGCTGTCAAAGACCACATATTGTCCTGCGAAGCTACCGTAGTACTGTAAAATACAATATATGATCTCAATGCTAGATGGGAGTAAAAACTACACAGTGTAGCTTGAAACTGTGACTGTCAGATGGTGTGTGTGTCACGTGGATGAAAAACAAGGAGCCCCAAAATGCAAAACTACTAATACAAAATCAAGATCCAGCAAAAACACAGGGACCGAGGACAAGAACAGAAACAGACAGGAAATGACAATGATGGAACAGG